CCTGGGTGGCTCAGTCGTTAAGCGTCTGCCTTCAGCTCAGGTCATGATCCCAGGGTCCTGGGATCGAGCCCCGCATCAGGCTCCCTGCTCAGCGGGAAGCCTGCTTCTACCTCTCCCACTCCCCCTGCTTGTGTTCCCTCTCTCGCTGTGTCTCTCTCTGTCAAATAAATAAATAAAATCTTATTAAAAATTAATTAACATATGTCTGTGAAAGAAAATTGCCTGAAATGTGTCAATAAAATGAGCAATTGGTTTTTCTTGACAGATTAAAAGCTTAAGGTTTTTATTTCAGAAATCCTGTTGCAAACAAAATAACTTGACACAGAATCCTCTTAACTGTTTTTAAGTATTTATAGACAGAGGGGCGCCTGGGTGGCTCAGTCGTTAAGCGTCTGCCTTCGGCTCAGGTCATGATCCCAGGGTGCTGGGATCGAGCCCCACATCGGGCTCCCTGCTCAGCAGGAAGCCTGCTTGTGTTCCTGCTCTCGCTATCTCTCGCTCTCTGTCAAATAAATAAATAAAATCTTTTAAAAAAGTATTTATAGACAGACATATAGATATATGAATTATTTATTAAGCTACTGGATTGAGATTTTTGGCTTTACCTTGCGTTGTCAAACTGCACGACTTTGGGCCTACCATTTAACTTCTCTGGGCTTTCGTTTGAAAAAAAAAAAAAAGCCCTACAGAGTAAGATTTAACATTCTGCCCTCTACATGACTGATGTTTACATGTTATGCACTACCATATTCTAGGTTCAGGGACCTTATGCATGGTTCACCAAGGGCTATTTTTAATTCCTCCTCCATCTAGCTAGTTCTTTTACCAGCCCAATACAATGAAAAATTATTTCTCTTAAATATGCTTCTTAAATTAGATAGCAAAATGGCTTTCACCCCAAAGAGTAACTCCTCACAGGCCTGGGTACGCCGGCGTGCATAACTCCATTACAGCCTTTTTAAAATGCACAATGAAACAGCATCAATCATTTATGGCTTATTAAATACAGTATCTTTGAACACCTGTCTCCTGCCAAAACTTTGTTCCCATGAGAAAATCAGATTTGGGTACCATTTTTAAGGTACACTTGCTCTGCAATTATCACCCACTTGTCGGAAAGGAAATTTCCAGTAATTGTAATACTACCCTCATTATTTCCTTAATATAAGTTCAGTTCCAGGTAAGCCAGAATAATCTAGGTCCAGTCATCCAGGGGCAGCATTTAACCTGTTCACTGTAAAATAAATGTCATTTCAGGAAATATATAGGAGAAAAATTAAAACCCAAGATGCACCTGAAACAAAACAAACCAACAAAAGTAACCCAGAAAATTCAAATCCATCTCTACTGTGTGAGTCCTGCCCTGGTTTAATTTCTGGACATTCGTCCCCCATCACAAACGACCAGGATAATGAGAAATAAACAGCAGCAGCACCACTATTACCTTGAATTTCAAAAGTGAAAAGGTACATCGCTACAATCTATCTGTCGCTATCCATAAAGCTCTGCCAGAGGGTCCATGCTACGCGTGGAGGTCAGGTTCCTTCCCTCTCTGCATGAGAGGACTGAAAATGTTCCCAGGTGTAAAGGACAAAAGAGACAACGATGAAGCTGGGGATTGAAAAGGTGCTCCACGGCAGGAACCCAGACCCAGATGGGGAAAAGTCAAGAAGAAAGCAGAAAAGAAAGAGCCCACTGAGATCAGAGGAGGAAAAGGAAAATAGGGCTCCTGACCAAATCTGGTAGGGGAACGTGGAGATGGAATAGATGAACAGGACTGGCGTCAGTGGGTGGTGGGATCAAATACTGGGCGGTGCGGGCAGAGACTGCGGAGGGCTCAGGAAATGGGTAGCCCTGAGGGGAGAGGGAGGCCCAAAAGAGGAAAAAGGAGACAGGGCGCATCCGCCACGGTCTCGGGAGGGTGGCGGGGAGATCCTCACCTTGGTTTTAGTCCGGCTGGCCTTGGCCTTGGCCCGGCGCGGGGGCCTCACCGCCTCGGCCATAGACCCTGCGGTAGCGCCGTCGCCGTTTGTTTTTGTCAAAACCCTGCGCTTCCCACAACCTGTCCAGTTCCGGCCTCCGGACTTATCACGTGACCGGGCCTCCACCAGTCCCGGAGAAGGGGCGGCAGCACAGGGACGCTACGGGCCGCGACGTAGGACAAACCACTCCAGGAAGCACGTTTTCCCTGAAGGATGGTGGCTCCGCCCCCTTCCCTCAGGCCCCACCCCTGGCGCGGTGCTTTGCACCTCCAGGTGTACCCCGTACGCGCGGGCTCGTTCGGTTGTGTGGAGCCCTGGTGCTGACTGTCCGGGTTGAGATTGCGTCTGTCTCTCCGGCCCGCACTCGGTGTGGAGCCCGGGTGCGCTGGCATACCTCACCCCCGCCGGCTTAAAGGAGTCCGGGGAGGTATGTTTATTTATCAATCTTCTTTTGACCTGTAGTTAAGTAGATCCCCCAGTCAGCCTCAATCTCTGCTTTGCGCCCGTGATGTGCCCTTGAGATTTCCACCTCGGTTCCCTCAAAGGGGAACGATGATATTTGATGAAGATTAAATGTGCTAATCGTGAAAGGTACTTGTGGAGCGACAGGCATGTCAGTAAATGGAAGTTATCATTACTATACAAATTGCTAGACAGCAAATAAGACACCCGTCCCGAGAAGGGCAGAGAAGAAATAAGACACATAAAAGTTTTCTTATTATAGATTTTCCGTACCTTGCTTCATTTTTAAAATTCCAGGTGTTAAAAACCTGGCCCCTTCTCCCTTCCCCCGCTGTTCAATTTCTTTTTTCCAAAGCACTTAGTGCCTCTTAAAAATACTATATAATTTGCTTTTATGTTTGTGTCTGTCAGCTCCTCCAGAATGTAAGCTCTTAAAGGGCAAGGGTTCTTTGTTTTGTTCCCTGTTGTATCCCCAGGGCCTCCACAACACGGGCCAGCCTAGAGTAGATGCTCAATAAATATTTGATGAATGGAACAAATGAATGTGAGTTGTTTTGCCTGGTGGTGGGGTAAGATAGTTGAGATGGCTTCTATGGGAGGAAAATAAGACTATCCACCCACTGGTGGCATATCCTAGAATGAAAAATCCAGGAATATGACATGAGAAATGGGAAGCACTTAAGAGATATACACTGCATAGTGACTTGTTTATGAGCTATTTGATCATATACAGTTTCACATATTTTGAAATCCTCAACAACAAAAATGTTATCAAGCCACTCAGAACGCACATGCACTTTGTATACCTGTGTGTGTGTGTTTATTTATTTATGTGTAATGGGCGAGACTTGGCAAATATGAACAAAATCTTTTTACCACCTTTACTACCCATTAATTTTGCTGGTGTTTCTTCAGGTCTGGAATACCCTTTCTGGTTTAGACCAATTCAATTCCTTTTTGGCCTTCGAAGTTCTCTATGTGTTAGTCACTACTTAGCAAAACAGAACTGACCCTACCTTCACTTTCTGTGGTTCACAATTTAGTTGGGAAGCAGACACAGTGCATAGGTAAATTGCGATAAATATATCACAGCCAGGCCACCTGGGTGGCTCAGTCGTTAAGCATCCTCAGGTCATGATCCCAGAGTCGTGGGATAGAGCCCTGCATCCGGCTCCCTGCTCAGCGGGAAGCCTGCTTCTCCCTCTCCCATTCCCCCTGCATGTGTTACCTCTCTCGCTGTGTCTCCCTCTGTCAAATAAATAAATATCACAGCCTAAAGGGAAAAGTGGCATACTTTACATTTATAAACTGAATTTTGTAAGAAAATTTTGCAAAAAAAAAAAAATATATATATATGAACTGAATAGACCTTAGTACTGTAAGTAGTTAGTTTTGCTAGTCAGTTCAGGCAATAGAAGAAATTAATCTATATTAAACTTAATACTGTAGTTTTAAATGCTTGAGGGAATTTAAATCACAATGGGACCGATTGTTTAACAAAATTTGGTCCACTGAATTTGAATGACCAAATGTTAAAGTTCCCTCTTGAAAGTGATTATTAAAATTCATTAGATTTATAAATAGAATGTTGAGATGAAATAATAGAATGTTGAGATTTATAAAGATAAAGACTTAAGAAAAACTAAATTAAAAAAAGAAAAAGAAAAACTAAATTTTACAATGTATATGACTAATAAATTGAACATTAATTTTGAAATAATTTAAAAGGTCAATTTCAAAAAACAAAATAACGATAAATGTACATAAACGCTACCTGCAGACACCCTAAAAAATGTACATTGATGGCAAGCATGGTTAATCACTCACCTAATTTAACAGTGAAGGGTTTGCTACTAAGATTCTTGGGCAGTAATCACCATTTCCTAAGCTCTTACTATCAGTCAGGAACTGTTCTGAGTACTTTTCACATAACTCATTTGATTCTCATAACAATCCTGCAAAGTCAGTTGTTTTATTGTTCTCATCTTATAGACAGGGACTAAGGCTCAGAGAAGTTAAATTATTTGCCTACGGTCACTCTAGCGAGCTAGCCTGAGCTAGTAAATGGGGGAGCTGGGATTTGAACCAATGCAATTGTACAGTATAAATAAATAGACTTTTTTTTAAAGATTCTATTTATTTATTTGACAGAGAGAGAGAGAGCACAAGCTGGGGGAGCGGCAGGCGG